AGGTGCTGAGGGAGCAGGAGCAGGCCCGTGCGGGGGGGGAGCCAAAAGGGAAGAAGGTGTCACTGAAGTAGAGGTAGGCCAGTAAAGAAGCACAAGTAAAACTAGTGACTCAGAAGGATGACAGGGGGAAGGAGTTAGGCTGAAGGTGAAACACTGATTGTTGCCTTTACGCTCTGTAGCGCGGTGGGATCACCGTTTCTGTATCTCAGGGCTTTGCTTTTCCAGAGAAGGCGTCCTGTATGATGGGGATCACGGGGTAGAGGAGGCTGTTGCCCCTGTGGTTTGTGCCTGTGCTCTCTAGCAGGGTCCCCTTGTTCCCCTTCAGGCTGTAGCTGAGGAACAGGTCGCAGAGCAGTGCCCTGGTGCAGTGCTGTGGGTGCGTGAGCTCCGTGCCAGGGAGTGAAACAGACTGGAGTGCCAATGCGTGCCACTTGGCAGAACTACACCTCCAGCTTTGTTGTTGGATCTCAGTAAACACTGGCCACAATTAATGAAGCTGTACTAGAATCCCCCATATGACTTGTGTAACTCCCCTAAGATTGGGGGGGGGGGGAAAAGTATCTTGAAACCTTTCTCAAATAGAAGGTAGTCCCAGCAGTGTGCGCACATAAGGGTGCGGGTCAGATGCTGCTTGTGTTGTGGCTGCTGTGAGCCTACCCTGTGCTCCCCGTAGGGGAATGGCCCAGGCCTCGTCCTGTTTGTGGCTGCAGCGCTGGTACTTTGCAGCTGGGGTGAGCTGGCTCAGACGTGCTCTGGCCGTACAAGTGCCTGTGCTGGAGCAGGGGAGGGGATGAGAGGGTGGGGGCAGGCAGCCTTGTCTTAGATCGCTTTATGAGTCATTTGAACTGTTGTGAAGCATTACTCTAATGTAAATCCTTAAAGAGCCCCTGAATTCAACACGTTTTCTTCTGCTTTATACTTAGTCCTGTCTGTCTTGACTTATGAAACTCTTATTTGGCCTTTACAGAATCAACACTGCTATGGGAAGTGGCAGGGGATTCTGTCTGGGCTCGCGCATCACCAGGCACATTGTTACCTAAGTTCTGTCTCCAGAGTCAGTTGATGTAAGACAGTACAGACCCAGCATAGTTCGCCGTTAGTAAGGTGAGTTGGGAAGGTCATGCTAGTAAAGAAACCATTTCTATGTCTGTAATTGAGCAGGTGAACAGCTCTGAATGCACTAAGACACTTCCAGCAAAAATGCTTAAAGCTTTGATTCTGTGTCAAGTCTTTGTTAGGAACTAAAATAGAATATCAGACTGCTGTACGCTCTAAGACCAAATCACTGTTTAATTTATTTTTATTTGCCTTTCGCTTCTCTTTGAAGCGCCTGAGCACCTGTAGCTAATTTGCAGAACTCCAGGCAAGTCATAACTAGTGAGGCGTATTCATGACTTTGTATGTTCTTGTGTAGGTTTCTGTATATATGTAGCTGATTCCTGAGGTATTTTCTTCCTCCTTTATGGGTAGAACATCATTCTGAAGCTGGTTTTCATTATTCGGACAGAATGATAGAAGAAAGTAGCAGAGCTGCCTGATTTTCATTTCTAGAGTGGGTAAATTTCCTTTTTGAGAGCAGAAAGTAGTCGAACCAACGGAAAGACTAAAGATATTCCTCTAAATCGGTTGGTCAGAGAAGGAAGTCCTGATTCCAGATTCTCCTGCTGGTTCAGAGTCAAACGCAGGACTTGCAAGTCAAAAGATTCATGCTGGTGTGAATCTTTGAGATAAAAACAGGTTTTGTTTGTGGATATTTTTAAACTATTTAAATTTACAGGAAGGTCTTTATCTTTTTGCCCTTTCCTTATAATATGCATTTTGTATGAGTGTTTTTATGACTGTAATATGCTACTGAATGTCCTTTTAGCTCCTTGGCAGAGTTAGTTTTCCTTTGCTCAGTTTTTCCTAACCAGAAAAAGACTTTTTGTTTAGTTTCTTTGAAAGATGGAAGGTGGGGGGTTGGGACAAAAGGAGGGTTTGTGAGGCTTTACTTAATACCTAAAGTGTGCTCTGTTACTTTAAATGTCAGGTGGTAAAGAGTGTAATTAGTGAATACTGGTTTCAGATGTTAACAGTGATTGATATATGGCAGCTTCAGAGGAGATGGTACAGGTTGTGTTGGTGATGGGTGCTTGTATTAATCCTGCTTGATAAAGCCTGCTGAACAACCTCATGTATGAGAAAACTCATGGAATGAGGGACTAGTTATTGTTATATATTGTTAAGAGCTAAAACAATTAAGAGTAGAAGTGATGGAGACTGGATAGTTTTAATGTTGGAGCACTTAGTAAACAGATAAGTATTTTTTTGGCTCTTCCTTCTTTTTGTGTGAGAAAGACTTTATTTAAGTGAACAGTGGTGATATTAAAATGAGTGTTTATATTTTGTCAAATATTTACTTGTGAAACCGTGGTGGATGATGAATGGTGACTCTGGTTGTACTCTTTGTTAGCTGAAGTTTGAACTTAGGTAGCTATAGCTGTTTTGCAAGCAAACGTCTAATTATGTCTGTAGACTACAGAATCCATTAATTTCTGGAGTAACTGGTGTCAGTAATGCTAAGGTGCCTCAGTCCAGAGGAACGTTGGGTATTCCGCATCCAAGGAGAATACAGCCTTTATCTTGTCTAGCCAAGAGAGTGGCTTGTCTACTTTTCCCAGTTATGTTACTGCCGCTTCAGAAAACAGCAGAATTCTTGATTTAAGATGTTGTCTTTTGCTGGCAGGTTGAAGCGGACTCTGTTGCTGATTTCCTTTCTGAAAGGGCTGGTCAAAGTGGCACCAAGATCAGCTGAGCTTCAGAAGCTGCTTCTGGAGCTGCAAGCAGAAGGCACAGGGGTCACTTAAACACAGGGACCAACAGCAACATGGATGACCATTCCCCTCATGCCTTTGGGCTTTGTCACTTTCATGAATTTAAACCTACTGTTAATAATACAGTTCCCAGGGCCAAAAGGCCTTTAGATCCTCGTGGGGAGGCTCAGGTCCTGCAGGCAGCTAAGAAAGCTTGTGCAGTGAGTCATCATTGTAGCATTCCATGTCCATCAGAGAAGCTGCTGCTCTGTTCCCCAGATTCTGCCTGCTTTCAAGGATCCTCTCATTTTCTGGACGATACTGGCCATGATGAGCTTGTTGCCAGTTCTTCTGAGTCAAAGTACAATGATGTAGCCATTTCTCTAGATACAGCCAGATGTTTTGATGATAGTGAGCCAGACGACTCCTTGTTGGAACTGTCAGGCAGTGAACAAGGGAATTCTCCTTTCAATTACACTGAGGAAGAGATCCAGGAAATCTTGGCAGATGATTGCTTGGGATCCGAGCAGTATACAACTAGAAAAAGCACTGTGAGCCAAAATGTAAATGGAGAGAGTGAAAAGGACGTGAGCAGCAGCTGCACTGGGGCATCAGTCATCAGTGAAGATGTAAAGGTAGCATCCAAGATCACAGAGAAACCAAACATACCTCTGTCTAGGGTGTGTTCTTCAGTTGAGATGGCTAATTCAAATGTGAACGATCTGCGGTCAGCTCAAGTAACTGGCATGTTGTTTGACCTTGATATTCAGGAGCTTCTAAATCTTAGCCCAATTGATGCTGACTATGTAGATCAGCCTCCGGAGGACAGTCGTTTGGAGGAAACCAAAAGAGAAACTTCACAAGCAATGATAAGTGATTGCCTAGAATATGATAAAATTAATGCTAATAACTTGATTCTTGGAGAATCTTTAGAATGGTTGATGTCTAAAGGGCAGCATAGCCTGGGAGTGGATCACATGGGAAAAACTCCATTTACAAGCAGAGATATGACTAACTTACATGGTGGTCCTGCAGAAACTTCCGTGCCCTCTTCTGACCTTGCCTGTGACCCCAGTAAAGCTGATGAGAGTTCAGCACCTGTGCTGCTGATGTATCTCCAGCCATCTCCTGGGTCCCAACACCAAGATCTTTCCAAAGCAACAAACAGCAGTTTTTCAGGGAAATTTGACCCCTCAAAGGATGATGGGAGGCAGGAATCTTCAGAAGCTGAACAGCCATCAGACAGCATTAAAGTAAACACAAATCTTAATTCTTCTAACTAAAACATTTTTAATTCTAGTACTTGTGGTTTGTGTTTGAGGGCTTGGTAGTAGTGTCTGTATGCACACAAGTGTGTGCTTTTACACAATAAGTGAGGGCTTTTAAAGCAGGAGAAAGTGTGATTTTTTTTTTAATATAAGTGTATAAGCAAGACTTGCATAGAATGTGCTTTTATTAGGTGTTAACCCTCTTTTTCCTTATCTTTCTAGTTAAGTGCTACAGCCGTAGGCCAGATCGGGCAGAAAGACACAACAGGTGGGAAGAAGCTAGGCAAAGTTACTCCTGTGCCACAGGTGGAGGAAAGGTATTGTCTTACCCTCTGAATGCCTTTGCATTCTGAAAAATGACCCAGCAGTTCCCCAAAGCAGTGTAGTTGCTTGTGTGCTGCTGTATTTCTCTTCCTTTTGTTAAGGTGCCCTGAAACAGAAGGGCAAGTATTTAATATTTTGCCTTGCGAGATACCACAGGGTGAGGAGAATATAGGGCTGGTCCAAATGAGGAAGAAGTTTGCTGAGACAGTCCTGGGCACGGGTCTGCAGGGCAGAGATGGGGATGCTGTTGTTGGCCTGGCTTGGTTGCGGATCTCCCTTTCAGTGTGGTTGCCGGCAGATGGCAGCAGCAGTGCAGCTGCTGCAGAGTGAAGACTGCTTTTTGCTCTCCTGCACTGCTGTGCCTGGAGTTGTAAATTCAGTTTTTCTTCCCTGTGGCCACTGCATACCTGATGCATTTTGATGTTCTGTGCATCGTCATTCCCAGTGTGGCCTTGAGTAACATGAAAAATCTGTTACTCTTGAGAGCTTACTGCAGGTTTCTGGCCTGTTAATCAAGACAGTGACTTGCTGGTTCCCTTGGCTGACATCTTCTGTCTTCCTTTGCTCTCAATATATTATCTTGCAGCTCTATTTGAATAAATACTTCTGTTTTTATAGTTGCAAAGTCCAGAAGAATAGTGCTATGAGGAAGTTCCCATTGGTACTAGTTCTGTAGGACACCTTGTCCCTCTTCTGCAACCTAATTTGACAGGTATTTCCAAAAAATTAACACTGTGTCCTTTATTTTAAAGACTAAAACAAGGGGCAGGCATTTCAGAAGCGGAGCTTGAGCAAAAGAAACACTTGTATCCAGTGTGTGCGTGCCCGTGTGAAGAAATCTGTAGATCCTACACCAGGTAACCCATAGATGAGATAGGGATAAGGCTATACTGGTGGGGAGGGCGGAGCGGAGGGTATGTCCTATGGGGAGGCTGGGCTTACTTAACTTGCATTCTGAACGCCCTTGCTTTTCAGAAGGAAATAAAAAATGCTTGCTGCACACACTGGGAGTACCATGCATAGAGTTCCCATACAGCAACCAGTCTTCTTCCAGGACTGGTTCAGATGAGCTTCATAGGTTGTAACAGCTAGGAAACATAATACAGGGAGGGATGTTTTGGGGGGGGCGGGGGGTGTGTGTGCTGTGATAAATACAGGGATATTATCAAAATGGGGCTGTTGTTACCTGGGAGGAGCAGAGTTGAGCTCTGGCTTGTAGCTGTGTTGGGACTAAACTTGTTTTTGTCAGTCCATAGCTGTGAACCCGGACTGAGGGAATCTTTAGCTTAAATGCTGAGCTTTGGATGTGCTATCGATACCTTCTTTACCGTGCCCCCCTCAACTGTGTCATCCCAGAGCTTTCGCCAATGAAGATTTAAAAGAAAGTGTCTGTGTAAAGAGCAGCTATGGATGTTAACTAAAGAGCAGTATCTAAAGGATTGATTGGTAGAACTGAAGGGCAGAAAGCATTCTGGTACCTTCCAGAGATGGCCTCCCACTGTGGTTATTCTGACTGTTCATGGGTGCAGTAATTCTCATTTCTTGAGAGTTATAAGAAACTGACAGTTGTGCGGCTCATCGCATGGAGCCTGCACTTATCTGGGCAGCACAAACAGCTGCATAGCCACAGGGCTGCTTTCCAGTATATGAATACAGCATAAGTAATGTGGAGGGGGACTGGGCAAGGAAAGCTGAAATGGCCTGTTTTCTCTTCCTTTCAAATTAAAAATGCAAGACGTATGTTCTGAGTCATAGAAAATCAGGCAGGAGCTGCAAATGAACAAGGCTAGTGAGTGAAATGGAGATCTTTTTTGCTGGGGAGGAGCACTGTCTATGATGCACACAATTGGGTGTTTTTGTTGATGCAAGCCTCTCTTATTCCAAATAGCTGTAGGCTTGGAATTTAGCCTGATAGACAGAGTGGATTTTCCCAGTTCCCAGGAGAACCTTCTCAGTGGGCTGAATTTGACCTTGTATGGTACCTCTTTTGTTCAGCTGCACCTGCAGCAGTCTTGTGTATCCCTTGCCTGGGAGCTACAGAATGCAGAATGATCCCTACAGGAAAAATAGCAGGTTTCCGAACCAGCCAGGGAATTCCCTTTGGGAAGTGGTAACTGATCAGGTGACTCAGAAATTATAATCTATTGCTGCTACAAATCTTCAGATCTGTCTTGCATTGCAAGTCTCCTGGCAGTTGTGTTGTGATAGTGTTTGACTTTGTTATTCCCTCCTCTGCATAATCTGTTTATACTTCCTTGCGTCCTGTCTCCTGCTTCTTGGATTCTCCAGGCTGGTTATCGTAGGGGTTTTGTCTTTGCATTTGTCTTCATGGTATCTTGCACTTGCAGATTCTCTACAAATGTAACTTTCTCATATCCGTTTCAGAGAGTTTGTGCGCTAGAGGTTGCGCTGGCTACCACTTGTGCAGCCTGAACATAGACTGTTTGGAAGAAATGCTTTTGTCTTCTGAGTACACCTTTCAAATCTGGCCATCTTAAGTGAATTGGTAGTACAGAATAACCTGTGGTTCTGGTTGTTCTTCCCCTAATTATAGTTTCTAGAGGATATTCAGTATGAATAGATAAGTTTATTTGCAGCTTCCCATAGGCATCTAAATGCTGCTGAGGCTGCATTGTAGCAGATGTTCAAATTGCATCTCATTTTTACATCTGCTTGGAAATGGGTGACTGAAACTGATAATTGACCACAAAAGATTTCTGCCAGCTGACCGTTTAGTATTCACATTTCATTATTGCCCTTTATTCAACAGTAAATAGAATCATATCGTTCTTGATGAGATCCTCCTCAGCAATCCTGGTTGGTTCTGTATCAGCCTATGAAAGTAACAAGGCCCTTACTTCTATAGCTGTGGCTCTTGGCACTGGATGTTAGTACACTGCTGCTTAGTCTTGTCCTCAGCAACATATATAGCTGTGTAGGCCTATTCTTTAAAAGGGCAGGGGAAAAGATGAACTTAACAGAAAAAGTATTTCCTCTTCAAAATGTAGCCTTTGTTTGTTTTCTACCCAAACATCTGTACTTCAGGAGTTCTGCTTTCACAGGTCATTAGCGCTGCAATTGTGTGTATGGGATAGTGCTTGCACCACCTGCTGCTCAGATGACTATTGTCATGTCATTTGGAGGAGGATTGCTCTCAGTCATGCACCACCTGGTAGCTGGAAAGCTGTGCTAGCTCCCATCTGACCTCCAGCCGCTGCTTTCCTCAGAGAACTTCTGTTAGCAGGACTCCACCAGGAGTTCTCTCTGAGGGCTGGTTTGCTTGACAGAGGTTTAATTATTGTTATTTCAGAGGAGAAGTCTTTATAATGGTGGCCCCAATTTTATCAGGCTTCTCAGAGCCTGGGAGGGACCTGATAGATTATTTTCTTGTGTCCCTTTTGAGTCAAAGGGAGAGGAGGAGGAAATACCTTATAAAGAGCCATAGATGTCTGATGATCTGGTCTTGTAATAATGAAGATCAATACCTTTAGTAAACAGACATCCCAGGTTTAAGAAGATGGAAAGGTAGACTAGAATAAGGGGATCTATGAAGAAACAAACCTATGAAATACAAGTGAGCATTGTGCCAGCAGCCTCTGCCTTGAAACAGGCTGGTCTGTTGACTGGTACTGAGCTTGCTGAGGGAAAGAAACCTTAGTCTTGGAACAGTTCTTCTTACCTGCTAAGACTCACTTTCCTCGAATAGAAAGCATACAGGGAAGGTACAGCACTTGGGCTGAGCTGTCATGAAGGAGAAATTACAGTTATGGCTGAGCCTAGAAAGGAGGTTTGAACTAACTCTTCAAAGCAAATGAAATCCACCTACCAACCACAAGTTTCAAGAAGGATGTGAGATGGGCTTTGGAGTGAGGGAGAGGGCAGGCATTGATAAAGCAGGTTAGAAAGAGGCTCACAGTGAGGAGTGGGCTGTGTTTTGGCAACTGGTAGGAGGAGTTAGCTGCTCTTAGCAGTGTGCTGCTCCCTGGTCTACACCAGTGTGGTCCAGGGGCTTCTGCAGGAAACCACATGGCTTGACTATGCAGACACTTTTGAGACATCTGACATCTAAATCAGAGTGGAACTTGTCTGGAAATCTCATCCTAAATCTGTAGTTTGATCTTAACAGTTCTGGAAGGATGGAGGATGGACTATGCCTGAGGTGAAAAGGAAACAAACTGATGTGTTAAATTCTGTTCCATGGCAATTTGCTTTATCCATGGTCTCATTGTTCCCTTTCCTTATGTGTAAAGGCCAGAAGGATTCTTACTCTCAGACGCTTGTATTAGAAAGTTAAATAAGGCACTGTGATAATAGCACACTCCAAATATTTGTTGGGGTTACACTCTGCTCCTGGGACTCTCTGCCTCTTGTAGAAGAGCTGAAACCTCTTAGTAGTGTGAAGTGCTAGTGAGTCAGCCAGTGTTTAGTCTCTCTTTCCATTGCTGAATTCATTTGCAGACTTTAAATATTTGCTTTCGACTTTAGGAAAGGACCACAGGAAACGTTTAGTAGATGGGAACATCAGACTTGTTTGGTGGTGGTTTATTTTTTAATAATCAATACCTTGGAGGTACGTCCCCTAACCAAATTCTCTCTTAATTTTCATTTGGGGTGAAATTTTACTTCTGTGGCAATGTGCTGTAAAAGAAAATTCTGACCAACTCTGAGGTGGGAGTGAGGAGGTAGCCAAAGAACTTGCAGAAAAGTCTGCCCCTAGTATCTTCTTTTTTTTTTTTTTTTTTTTTTTTTTTTTTTTTTTTTTTTTTTAGGAATGAAGCTGTTGGCCAGGTTCTGACCTTGATTCTTTTTGGGTAAAGTTAAAACCGAGGGTAAGGTCAGAAAAAGGGAAGTATGATTAATAGGCTATTCCAGGATTTCTCTGCTCCTGGGAGTTCATGGGTGGCATAGAAATGGAGATGACAATTTTACATCCATCTTTTACTGTCAGTAAACTCTGGCAGTAGTAAAGCAGTCCAATTTGTGCTTCTCCCCGCTGTTCTCCAATGCTGACCTAAATGCTAGTAGTTCTGACAACTTCTTGTCTTCTCTCAGGTACAGGGGTTGAGGGTGGAGCCCCGGTCGTAACATATGAGCCCCAGAAGTAGCATCCCCCTGTTTCTGGGACCCATCTTGACTGTGGCTTAGAACGGGAAGGAAGGTGGACTTCTGTATAGGAAGGCTAAGAGTTGTTAAAAGTTGTGATTTCTTCTAGTCATGCACACATCTTGCATCAGCTTACTGCTGCTAACATTAACTGTTGTATAATGTGACAGTTTGCCTTATGTAAGCTGTCTTGGAGTGCCTGCCTTCTTCCTCAGGAGCACGGCCTGATAAGTGGAATTTCAAGAACATTTCAGAAATCCTTTCTAGAAGTGTCTTTTTGACAAGAAGTTATTCCTTTGGGCGAATAAAAGCTGATACTGCAGTTTATGAAGGAGACGTGGATTCGCTCAAGAGACATTGTGTTCCCTTGAAAGGAAGAAGTGTTACGCAGAACCATGATTCACATGAATCACGTGACTGCAGTGGCAGGATGGAAGAACCTTTGCATTTCTACTGGACAAGGGCACCCACCGCTCTGTGCTGAGAGCACCTGTAGACAAAGGACTTGAACAATGGCAGTATTCCAGTAGAATTAACTTTCACTTAGCCTGTAGTATCTGATTTGAGTGGTGGGGGGGAGGACAAACACTTCAGGCAAGGTTGCTGCTACTGGTCCTTTCATAGTTTGTGACATGAATAGAAGGATTCTTGCTTTTTACTGAACCATCTCTTGCCAAGGAGTCAGTATGAGGCCTCCTCCTTTAAGTCTTCAGACTTGGTCTGCCAGTTGTATGGTGCAAGATCAGCCTTGAAG